TTAAATCTATTTAAATATTTTTTACTTATACTTAAGTACAACAAAACTTTCGCAAAAAGGACAACGTTAGATGCGGTAAAACATTCTAACGATTTAAAGCGATAAAATAAAAATAAAAGAATCAAAACGAGAAAACATATAATAGACTACTCAAAAATTAAAAATGAAATTGTGCTAGCGTTCTAATTATGAACAAGTCTGTTTTTATTAACGAAAAAGAAAACCGACTTCAAATATCTCGCTTCGTATTCATTTTATAATTGATTTCTAGAAGTTCCCTAATTATCTTCGGATTCCAAGAACCAATAACAATGAGATTAATATGGGACCACATGGGAAGAACCTGCTTTCAAATCTTCTCTTTCTTTCTTTCAAATAAAAAAAAACTTTCAAATAACAAACATAAAAAAATACAGTCGACTTGAGAAACTCCGCCTTTTGAAGTCGGTTAAATAAATGACGATCGACGGACGAACCGAGCGGCCGTCGACGAGGCGACTTCCTCCTCGAGCGAATTGTCACGTCGCTTCAGTTTTACACAATGCCACCCGAACGTTTCGCAATTCGGCGCGTAGATAGCGCGCGTACCGCTCGCCGATAAGGCTACTACGTGCAGGTACCGCGGGGCAACGTCCTTTATCGGCGGCTGCTCATTGGGCAATAGAAAACGATTGAATTACTCGGGCCGTGTGGAAATTGTTTTTTGTTAATTCCTACTTAACTATCGAGCCCCGTGGCTTAAAGGAAAACGGCTCAGTCATAGAGCGCTATTTTTAAATGTTTCAACGGTGTGGTTTTCGGGCAATCTGTATTGTTTGTATTTTTGTTTTTATTGATTTGATTGTAGATATCGGACACAGTTGAATAGATGTTTTTTTCACTAAATTCAAAAGAATATAATAGTAAAGTAATTATAACTTGGCGCTAATTATTAGGTTAGGTGCTCTTTATAAGATTGGGTGATAAGTAAACAATGGGTAAACTTAACCTAACGGATGGAAATTCCACCTTTTGGTTTCTTAATTCACTAAAGGAAACATAATTATAACTGTAAAATCATGTATTTGTCAAAAGAAAAGTACGATGCGTTCAACTTTGAATGATGATCACATAAAAAAACTTAACTACTATGACTAAGAGCAAACTAGCATCTGCTGATGCTAGTTTGCTAAACTCTTTTATAAAATTAGTCGACAGGAGTAACAAACTTAATTTTACAATTATTTAAAATAGCATTATTTATAAAATGTAAATCTTTTGAACCTTAAAACCATTATTTTTACTTAAAATCTATCGCTAAACCGTTTTTTCGAGGCACAAATGTTTTATAACGAACACCCCATAGCGATTTGTACCTAAGTGCATATTTTTGTTTAGTCTGTGGTGCGGTTCCGCCGTCTGAATATCGAGGTCATGATGCAAAGGTCGTTTCGATCATCCATAACGCCCATTATTCTTATTCCATTGTTTAAAATAGTCACGGTTGTAATTTAATACAGTAGATACTAATCCTATCTAGATGATACTGCAAGTATAATATAACTAATGAAATATTTAAAAAAAATTAAAAGAGTTTTATAAAGAAGTAATTATTTAAAAAAAATCAACGTGCAGATATCGGCTGCATAGCTCATTTGCTTAAATCGTCAGGACTCGTAGGACGGAGAATTTTCGCCAATTATTCCACAAAACATTCACATTTAATGAAATTTATTCTTTAAAACTAGCCAAGTGCGAGTCGGACTCGCGCAAGAAGGGTTCCGCCGTAGCATTATCTATAAAAACGGAAAAAATCATGTCCGTTGTATGGGAGGCCCACTTAAATCTGTTTCTCTGTTTTTTAATATTTGTTGTTCTAGCGGCAACAGAAATACATCATCTATGAAAATTTCATATGTCTAACATTCACGGATCATAAGATGCAGCCTGGTGACAGGCGGACAGAAATACTAACAGACAGACAGACAGCGGAGTCTTAGTAATAGGGTCCCGTGTTTACCCCCAGGTGTATGTTTCCATGTTTCCGTAGTTCATCCAGGTTGTCAGGAAAAAATTACTCTTAGTAATAAGGCTGCCATTATGTAACCATCACATATAATTTTTAATTTTTGTTTGCTTTATTTTTGGTGTGCAATAAAGTATATTCATTGATTAATTCATTCAACCCTGAAAAATATCGTACCATACTTCATCTTCATTTGCTGTGTAATGTTTAATACATAAAGGCATATAGAATTTGTTAACATTGTAAATGCCTTGATAAATTATGAGCAGAGGTAAATGCATTTTATGTAAGTTCTGAATAACGATACAAAAATCTAATGATAAAAGTTTTCAGTAAGATTTTGAAAACTTACACAGCTTTAATGAAAGATTTCACGAGATAACGTCGACAAGTGTTTCAAAGAAAAGAGGCACTGTAATATTTATGATGACAGCAACTTTGTTAACTGATGACCTCGCTCGTAATATTTCATCAAAATTATTCCCTTCTCTTTTAGCTGGTAAAAATATTTAGCAAAGTAATAGAGAAGAATTACTTAGCTCATTTTACTAACGTTTACGAGACGTTTAATAAGAGTCCTTTAAGATCATGTTATATATATACATACATATATATATATATATACATTATACACTTATATGTATAATATAATAGTTCCTTTGACGTTCTTCCGAGTGTTGTTTGCTATTGTCTTTATATATGCACTAATCGATAATGTTTTGTAATATTATGCCAAAGATGTGATGAAATAAATAATAAAATGTGAAGATCTATCAGAGGCTGAATGAAATTTTTAGAGTGCTTTGTCTTTTCCTACTGTGGCACTATTGTTACCATTGGTATGCGTACCATTGTAGTAAATTTCAATGTTACGAAATTACCACTGTGAATATAGTATAAATGAACATACCTTGTCTGAAAAAACGTTATAAACTCAATTGCGGGCGCGTATCTCGAAAGAGAGGAAGCAGTTTCCAATCCTCGAAGCATCGAAGAACTTTTCGTCTAAATTTCTACAAATTTTTGAACTCAATTGCTTAGATTAACCTACCCATTGGAAGTTTTGCTGAGAATTCGAGAATTGTGAACACGCCAACGCGAAATAGGTCTATGTAAGCCATCTGTCAATGTTAATAAGACTGTAGGTATAGCAGATGCATTGAAGACCATTGACATTGTATTTGCAACACAATTTTGACCTCATAGAAATCTTTAAATTTTGTAGAAAAAATACGAAAAGTTTCTCGTCGCTGTAGGAATCGAACCCACGTCTTTGGGATTCGCACCCTGACGCCACTTTAGCCACGCAAATAAAGAAATAAATCAAGAAGCTAAACGGCTGATTGTCAAAACGACGAAAATCGCAACATCTTTAATCTACATTGTTTTTTAGTATTTGAAGCAATGCTTGGCGCATCCATTGTTCTTTGAATTATTTTGTTGAAACTTCAAACTTGCATCTTAATTTGAAATTAATCAAACGCTTGCTGATTGATTGTCTTATTATTAGATGATTAAGCTTTTGTGTCATCAAGTGTATAGCATTTATTTATACATAGTGCATAGTATTTATTCAAACTTTATAACAAACAATAGAAATAAAACATCTACTTTCCTTTAGAATACAATGTTCTTCAGTTTATATCTGTTTACCTGTAACAAATTAAGGTAAGCGTTATTTTTCCTAAAAATTGTAAAAATTTTATTCAAATCAAAAAGGAAATGAATCAGATAACATTGTTAAGACAGAAGTGGAAGTTGTTATAAAATATATATTTTTTTATATATCATGAAAACAAAATATTAAATCTCGCAACTATTCCCTATCGATTAAAACTATGTTGTAAAGGCTTGCCCAATTTCGATAAACTTTATTTGTAATGATAGTATATAAATGTGTTATATAGTGAAATATATAAATGTTTTTGTTTTGTTCGACATGGAGCGTCCACTAATGTGGACGACAATACAAATAACAATATTTTTGTCACTAAATGTAAGTTAAAGTAATCTGTAAACGTATTATATTTAAAATTACGAATGCTTTATTATTAATCATAGTTTGGTTTTCAAATTCAGGTTCGCTACGTCTTATGTCAACATAATTACCAAGGAGGGTCTATTTTGCCGACAGGGACGGTAGCACAATCAGAGGGAGCTAAAGAGTGTTTAAGTGCCAATCCCTCACCAACACCTCAGTTAATGAATACGTTATTAACAATAGCAGCTGCGAATGGTGTGCTACCCGAGTTACTACCAAAAATTCAACCTCTTCGATCAATATCGCAGGAATCACCATATTCAACTCAAGAAATGGAATATAGAACTATCGCCGCAGCACCTATACAACAATCCACAGCATTGCGTCAACCGCAACCAATGGTTGCAACAAATCCACAATATTCACATACAATAATTCCTACTGCATATGAGACTATTGCTTCAAGACCAGTACCCATCGTACCACCAATTGTAATATCACCTGGTCTGAATCCAGTCAATCAACAAAATAATCCCTTTATTCCACCGATTCCGGAGTTGCCTCAACCATCACAGCTTGTATCACAGTCACAGACAAACGACGAGCTGTGTTTTTGCCATGAAACTATGGTAGCATCTGGCCAAGTTCCGTCAAGCGCTCCGGTACTACCAATGGCAAATGTACCAAGTACTTTAGATATAACAAGGTTAAATTTGGAACCGGTGTGTTCTAACTCGGTTTTGATGACTGAAAATGGTGTACACTATCCAGTTAATTTGCAAATTTCCATACCACCGCCTAATGTTGAGTCACCGAAAATAACTTTTATAAATGCTGCTTTACCGACGTCGTCGCTCGGGAATTATCCATCAACAGATGTCAGTACACTTCCTTATTCTAATTGGTTTCCATACGGATACACGTCGCCGCCCCAGCCTCAACAAATTATTTTTAAAAAGAGGAAGTCATCATTCAAAGATTGGCTGCCGCTAATTCTTTATTCAATGATCCACAATGACCGGAGTAACTGCAAAAATGGCGGGAGTTGTTGCTGCCAGGGTAATAGCGGCAATAGTGGAACCGTACCTATACCGTACCCTATACCTATATCAACCAACAGTCCAATTATAAGCACGGGATGTTATTCAAATTTTTCTCGTCACCGAGGTTCCAAAAGTGATCGGTATAGTGATGAATAGCTTGGCTTAACTTGTGTTTTATGTAGAAAATGTGATAAAAGTGAAATTGAATGAGTGAACGTGTGTCAATGAATGATTCTTTATTATAATTCTATTTGATAAGTAATTTATTGTAAATATAATATTGTATTATAAAAAAGAATGTAAAAAAATTGTTCGTGTTTTTTTATCGTAGCAATGAAATTATTATTATTCATGGTTCCCTCAGTACGGTTGTTATTACACAAAAAGAAAGTTATGACTTTTTCCAATCTCCACTAAAAATGAAACCTTTTTTAAATCTAAATGTTTTTATATTTGCTAATAATACCTTTCTAGCAAGTTAAAATACTATTAACTCATATTCAAACCAATATACAGCATAAGTAAACAAGACAGGAGTAAACTTACATGATATATTGAACTAAATCGGTTTGCTGTAGTATTATTGAATTAAATTGTTTTTCTTATATCACCAAAAGAAATTGAATAAATCAACCGGTTATGACGTATAATAAAAAACCTTTAAACACTTAACACTTTTTACACAGTTTAATTAATATAATAGCTGGCTTAGTATTAAAAAAAGAATAAAAATCAAAGAACAGGTAAAAAAAAAAATTCGAAAATAAAAAAGAAAACGTACACATCACTTGCAATTTTAATGAATTGATAGAAAATATATAATAGTTAAAAATTGTAGTTTAGAATTATTCTGTGCTTGTCCATATAGCTATAACGATGAAATTACAATTCATGGGAAACTAATTATGAATAGCAAGTCTGTGAATGATATTTTAGTTCATAAAAAATATGGGTATTATTGCTTCAAAATAAATGCTCATGCAAAATTTTTCCTCATCATAATGAATATAGATGATGACACATATCATCTCTTGATTCCATGGATCTGGACGTCCTTAAAACTTTAACTTGAGTTTGTGAACACGGACATTAATATGACGTTTTTATTGTATTAAAATAAAAGTTTTATAATTAAGGCAGAATTACTTGCTGAGTCATCTCTGGAAGGGTCCAAATTTCTGAACCGATGGTTAAATGTTCATGTGAGCTTTGAGCAAGCATAAATTAAATTGAAAAATTTTGACCTTCATTTTGACTCTGACTATTATAAACCGGTTTACGGATTTGTGAAGAGGGGATTACGGATAGACATTTAAAAAAATGTCACAATTGTTACTCAGCGGATTTTAAATCAGTACTTCTTGCTAAAGTGCACCTATCTATTAGCATAATATCACAAAGCACGTGAGATAAGGCCATGAACATGTAATCGAGATTAGATACAATCAGTGCAGTGACGCAATATTTTAAAGTGTAATGTGGAAAGTATAAAATTGAAAATATTGATATTTCCGAAGCACTTACGTTAACAGTTGCTTCACAAGATGATTCACTCACTTTGATATGAAGTCTTATTTTAGAATAGCGTAACACGCTATAAATATGCGGGGTTTATCTGTTGTGGCTTGTGTTATATCTGTAATATTTCTACTCCGTACAGAAGTGAGTTTTATGATTATTGAACTGCATAATACAACAATTTATGTTTATTTTTATTTAAATGTTTTAATTAATAATGGCAAAAAAGTACTCACTTAAAGTGTTTCTTTATAGGAGACAACTTCACAAGCAATAGCTCCAATAGGGTATGGAGCTTCGCCAATTGTGTACGCGCAAAATGACGAGGATAATCTTGGAATACTTTTAACAATATTGCTGTTGGCGGGAAACAACAGAAACCAAAATGGCGGGTGTGGACAATCGTGCAACTGCTGCAACTGTTGCAGCTGCGGCGACTGCTCGCAAAGCGTACCTATACCCTTCCCCATTCCATTCCCAACCAACAACGCTATAGTGACCCGACCTTACTATCATCCGTTAAATGACGATTACGATGATGAAGAAGACGAAGAACAAGATGATGTTAAAGCGAAGAGTTCCATTTCGAAGGGAAATGGTGCTAAGGATCGTAAGAAAGACTCTAAAGAAAAATCTGACTCTGATGCTGGCCAAACGGGCGAGCTAGTTGTGGAAGAAGAGGAATTCGAAGAAGGATCTGCGTACAGTTCGAAACCAAATTCGTAAAGTTTAGAAATCAGGCTCCATATTTGTAAAAATTATTCTGATATGCATATTTGAATGATGTTGAGTCATGTTTTTTAATTATTGTTACTAACCTTAGAATTATGTTTAGATATCATGTTTAGATATCATCGTTATTTATTTTTTTACAAATAAATTTTGCATTAACTATTTTGATTTAATTTAAGCCCTGACCGATTCAATATGAATGTGTTTTATTATATTTCATTATGTTATGTTTGTGGCACGCGTATGTTTGCAGAGAAAATCTTTTTTCAGATACTTAATATTCTGTAGAAAATTCTGAAACATATAAAATAAATATATTTCTGTATATAAAATAAATATATTTCTGAAATGTGAACTATAATATAGTAAAGACTGAGGTGTTTGATGTCTGAATGACATAGTCCGGGTTACTGTCAGTTTTTAGGGTTCCGTACCCAAAGGGTAAAACGGGACCCGATTACTAAGATTCCGTTGTCTGTCTGTCTTTCCGTCTGTCACCAGGCTGTATCTCATGAACCGTGGTAGTTAGACATTAGAAATTTTTATAGATGATGTATTTCTGTTGTCTAGTTGTGTATTAATTTTGTGTCGATCTATGTAAAATGGGATAATTTTATCTTGTCTTGGAGTAGTCGTTCCTTCCAATGGGATCCGAAGCTATCACACAAGAAACCACGATATTTAATTTCATTAAATCTACCACAGCCATCTCCTCGATCTTCAATCTTGTCGAGTGATTTTAGACAGCAATTCAATTTAACACACAGCAATTTCAGATGCAGTAGGTTCACACCTACTAATTGGCACTGTTCAATTACTACGTAACAATGAGAGGACGCTTTTGTGTAAATATTTTTTTTCTCACAATTATAAATTGCTATCACTTCAGGAAAAACATACATACCTAGAATTTAATTTATAATACAGTATTGTGCTCTACAATTTTGCAATGATTTAACAAATAAACTTTGCCATATTTAAATATATACCAATTTTAACGTATCTAGTGGCTTCAATTAAATTATATTACATGTTTAATACGTGGATAATGTGGTGGCCTGCAATATTATAACAACCTCAACGCAGCAAATTTTCTGTTTATAACATATATTGTAGCCGCTGTCTGTCTATCCCTATATTGTATGCTTAGATCTTTATAACTACGCAACGGGTCTTGATGCGGTTTTTTTTACTAGATATAGTGAAACAGGGGTGGGTCGTGTAATCATCATTCAGCTTAAGAAATTTCAAAATTGGTTAGCTTGCACTAAATTAAATCTTTTAGAATGCACTAGCAATATATATAAGACTGCGCTATAGATCCATGGTTATGAGAATAGAGTTTAATTTTAATCAGTAAATGTTGGGTAATTTATTTCGTGATTACATATTATGATGAAATATTTAATTTAGCTTCAAGTATAGAATAGAACTGGATTCAATACTTGAAACTATATTGTATATTCTCATTTTAGTATATCTACAGTTTCATATATATATAATTTGATTTATTCGAAACAAATTGGTCAATATAAAAAACCGGCCAAGTGCATGTTGGGCTCGCGCACGAAGGATTCCATACCATGAATTATCTATAAAAACAGCAAAAAATCTTATCTGTTGTATTTATAATTATGTGTATTAATTTTTTTTTATTCCGTTTTTTAGTATTTGTTGTAATAGCGGCAACAGAAATACATCATCTGTGTAATTTTCAACTGTCGAGCTATCACGGTTCGTGAGATAAAGCCTAGTGATAGACGGTGAAGACCGACAGACAGCAGAGTCTTAGTAATAGGGTCCCGTTTTACCCTTTGGGTATGGAACCCAAAAAATTGTGTTTTTTGCGATGATTGGCTATGGAAAAGCGGCCTCGAGCCGCGATTTGTAGACACAATATTAATAAGTGGATTTAAACTACGTTTAAGATCGACAATAGTCTGTTTGGTAATTGTAAGTTTCTCTAAGCATCATAACAGATTCGCTATTCCATCAGTATTAATTTCGAGAAGCGCCAGATTATGATGCAACAGTATACTTTATATAATATACATATATAGCGTGTCTTTACACAATAAATGAACACACATATACAGGATACATTTTTAAAATTGTATTAAACATTTACATTCTTTAAACATCAATATTAACCGAGTTATTAAATTTTTCAAAACAACGAATTTTAGAACACTATATAAAACTGTAACGTAAAGTTCATTTGTCCTTTACATTTGTCCTTCACAAAGCATATGAATGGGTTGAATGAATTTGAAAGAGACAAAACATACTGTTAGAAGGAGAGGCTTGTATTGCGACGCTGTGGCAACGAATGAAAAAGTCTCTGAATTTATGAATCAGTCAGTTGTAGTTGTATAGGATGTTACAAATTTTGTTTCTTTTTTACTTAATAAGTTTGTTTGAAAAATATTTTTTTAACTATGGATTTTTTTAACGTTAATATTTTTTTATGATTATTGGCAAGTAGCGTTAGACATGTGTTCATTAATTGTCGCGATTCTAAAGACACGCTGTATATTATTAAGAAAAAAGGTGTAAAGTATTTCTAAAGAATAAATTTTAGTTGTTACAATTTATATATAATTTTAAACTTATTATTCTTTATACCTAAGTTAAAATCGTAAGTTGTGTCGTTTAACTCTTTTAACACCAGATTAAATGCATACAGCTGTGAGTAAGTAAATGATAATGAGTAATGATTCATTTATAACTGTAATCCATTGGAATTTTAACCAGTAAGGTATCACAATAAAACTAGTTAAACAATATTACATAACAAAAAGGTAGCAAACGTTACAATGCCATTGTATTAGAAGAAGCATTTGCCTAACAGGTGAGACTCTTTTTTGTCATTCGCTGTATTTAAACCTTAATTATATATTATATATAATATAAGCTAATGATCATCAGCTCTCATCTTAATAAAAATCATTCATAATATATACATGCATAGGTAAGATTACAAAGACTAAATATTTTGCTATCAGTAATCATAAAGGCTTGCAACACTAATATAGAGTCATGTCGTGATAAGCAACAGGTTGTGGTTGCGTCCAAATTTCTTGAAACTATTACTGGAATGTTATTAAAACGTGACGAAAAGTTTTTTTTATGTTATGAAGTATCTGATATCGTATCACCTAAAACAGATAACAATATATTAGTTACAATATAGTTATTAAAAAGATATATAATTGCATGTATCAGTTACAAAATACTCATTTAATTTATTTTCAAAATGACAAGAGCCAGGGTTTTGACGACAATATGTTTCTTTCTTCAATGGCAGGTAAACGCCATCAAAAATTAGTAACGTAAGAATAATTTCTACCAATAATTGTTATACTAATTGCATTAATATTTTTTCAGGCTGGCTACGGACAACAAAATGGTGTGCCTACAAATTGTCAGCAAACAGTTCAAAATAATGCTGGATTTAGTCAAACTGCAGATCCTGGAAACCGTAACACCCAAATGCAGCATAGTTCTGTACAGGCGTCTAACACACAACAAAGTTATAATTTGCAACAGCTTGCGAACATACCGATGCAAACATTTAACGTTCAACATTCCATGAATTTTCAACATCAAACTAATTCGCCACCACAAAATTTTCAGCCGGTCAACCAAGCAATTAGCCTTCAACAAATTCCTCAATCAATAAGTTTACAAGATGTACAACAAAATGATGTTCAGCATTCTTCAATTCCTGTAAATTTGCAACAATCATCTGTAGTTCATCAAATCAATACCCAACAACCCATGAATTTAAATGCTGCTCCTCAATCTATAAATTTACAACAGATGCAGCCAATTCAGGCTATAAATTTGCAACAGCAATCGATTCCAACATTACAACAACAGCAAGTGCCGACAGCTAATTTGCAGCACCCATCCTCTCAGCAATGTTTAAATATACAGAACTCAGTTATAAAGCAACCGGGAAATTTACAACAGCAAACTGCATTCCATAATGCCAATGTACAGCAGGTTACACCACAACAGGTAAATTTACAACAGACTTCGCAACCGTATATTAATTTACAACAACAACCGGTTACAACTTATCAGCAGCCTGTGACTATAAATGAACCAATTGTTACTCAGCTGAATTTACAGAATTCAGCACTGCAACAGCCCTACAACGTACAACAAATGCAATTGCAACAAATTGATTCCCAACAAAAACAGGTTCCGTACCATAATATTGGTTATCAAGTTATATCTTGTCAAAGACCATTTCAGCAGGCTGATATTACTGCGGCGGTACCCAATTCAATACAACTATCCAAAGTTACATCCAGTTCATATCCAACGGTAATAGCAGCAATACCAGTAACAGATTCTAAAAAGATCGTACAAAAAGCCGACCATATGTATTTTGTAAGCCCCCAAAACTATGTAAATTCTGCTCCATATTCTCCAGTACTTGTTACGGAAAATACACAACAAATTTCTTCGAATATGATGCAAATTACGCCAACAACTTATTCAAGTCCTTCTTCGATAGCTAATGTAGTCATAAATAATCCTAATCAATATCCTGGAGAACTAGACAATCGGTCTTCATTGTCCAAAACTTCTGATCTATTAAGTATTATACAAAGTCAGTTTCCAATTGCTTCCATGTTAAACGAGCCAAGGACATCTATCCAGTCTGCTCTACTATCATCTATTTTATCTTCAATTCAAAATCCTTCTTCATCGCCTCAATACATAACGACAGATTATCCCGGACAAACAGTTCTAAGTCAGCAATACAATACCCATAATACAAAGTTCAGTCTTAAGAGTTTGCTTCCACTTTTATTAAATTTGATTCAAGAGAAATACACAAATCGCGGGTGCCAATGCCACTGTTGCAATTGTGAATGCTCACGTAATAAAAACATTGAGCATGAAATGCAAAAACCTGATGAAAGTCAAGAGATAACTGAAGAGGCAACAGAAGAACCATCTATAGATAACGAGGACTATTTAGAAGTGGATGATATTCGTTATAACCCAAACCATCGAAAGAAGTCAAAGTTTGAAAATATGATACCAGATGACAGTGCAGAAATCGATGAGAAGCAAGATTCTAGCCGTGAAAATGAAGATCATGACATTGGTTCAGTATATGGTGACGAGGATCATTTCGTTGGAGATAGCAAGTTATAGCAAATAATGACTGAATTGAATCCTATTTTATAAGTATTTATTTCAATAGTAAAATAAAATTTTGCAGCAAAACTGGATTTTTATTTAATATATTTTCGAATCATGTGTTTAAAGCGGAAAAATAATCGGAATATTTTCGAGACAAAGGCAAGAGATATAATAGAAAAATGCTTATACGATTAGTGGGAAACACGCATAAAAACTTGATTGTTAATTTACTTATTGTGCTTTACGTTGCACCTGTGCTTTACGTTGTTGCTATCACAAAGAATAAACTTTGTTCTCGTAGTTAACAAAGGCATCTTTACAATACTAATAGATAAAAATATATATAAAAACGGGGATTATGTTACTCAATTCAATAGTGAGTCAAAATGAGTTCCCTTAAATGGATTATATTCTTCCTCTCATACGTTGCATTCAATGTAAGTATTTAATCATCTTATAATAATAACTTATTATAAATACTAATAAACGTTAGAATTTCATTGCTGGTAATGATTTAAAATGTTCTAATTTGGCACAAAAATCTGTAAATAATTTTTTTAAACTAAGTGCAGGCCTATTATTAATTTTGTTGATTTCACTAGTTTGGTAGGTGATACACATGTTCAGTTACTAATTATATATGTTAAATTTAATATTTCGCTTTATTATTGAGTTTTAACTGTGCTTATGTATCGTTTGACTTGCCTCCATATTGCTTAATGCGTATAACAAAGTAAGGAAGTATTTGACGAATAATATCCTCTCGAACAATAGGCAACCTTCATGGACAAGATATCTGAGTATTGTAACCACAAAAAATTTACATCTGATAGTAAGGTAATTTATTACAAAAATGTTGGAAAACTTTTCATACTTTTCTATTCATATACTGTCCCACAAATATTTCATCATTCTTTGGTACTATAATTGTGTTTATAAATTAATAACTAAATCAAAGTCAAATCACTATCCTCTATATAAACCAGAACAGTTTGAATGAATCAGAAAAGTAGTAATTCTGTAGCCCTCTCACTTGACTAGTCAAAAGAACCATTTAAATTATCTCAAAGTTTCAAAATACCTAAAGTATGTATTTGTACCGGTCGAATTAGAAAGTAGATCATTATGCTATCAAATCATATGTAAGGTTTTGTGGCCTTTCTAATGGCTGAGATAAAACTTTGAGTTATTATCATACTTAACATACTTTTCTTATGGTATAAAAACCTTACATAGATGTATGCATTTGAATAGTAATATTTCTGGTTCAGTTTTACTACCATTCGTGAGCACTGCACAGCTAATTGTTGTCAAAGTCATATACTTTGAGTACAACTGAGTTTAACAGGAGCCCCTACTCCCTATAAAGGTCATATTATTAGTATGTCAGGCGGGTTTATTTTGTAAATTCGATTAAAAGATTACAGAAGCTCGTGTGTGCAGCTATGGTGGAGGTTGCGCTACTGGATGCGGGCTTACAAATCAGATGCTTCCGCCCCCACAGACAATCGTAGTGGTACAAGATGATAGCCCCATAGACAAAATCTTGCCGTTTCTACTTCTTATGACCTGTCGTTGAATCAACACTTAGTGGTGCGACTTGTCAAGAACATCAATAAAGTATTTATATAATGCTGTATTTTATTTAAAACACGTCTCAATGTTTTCATAGAATCATCAAAAAATCTGCAATGGAAGTATTAGTATGGAATTTTAAAATTGATGTTGGGAAATTTAAATTTACAGCCTAATTGGTCGACCAAACCAATTTTTCAATTCAGTTTTCTAAAAACTTTGTAAAATCCGGTTTAACTTATAATTAAAGGTTAGATCATACTAATTTTAATAAAAGTACTTTATGCTGAATTGATTTTTTGTGAATTCATACATAACATGTATATGAAAAGTGGCTTAATTCGTTACCGGTTCTCATTTTCTTTTAAAATTTATATAAAAAAGGGGTCAAACTACATCAAGCACTGATTTTTAAATGTTTCTATAGTTTTCAGTGTAACTTTCACTTTTAATCATCCACCCTTACGTACGGATTGTTTTAACTCCTTAACATGAAAGTGATATACATGTTTATGTATTTATTGTATATACGTTGTTATATATGATACCCAGATAGTTTTGACCTAGGTATTATAAACAAATATATCGGTTTCCGAATGTTAACAATCCGATTTATGCAAATTTTGTAATGCACGCCACTGTAAATTATCTCGCAGCTAAGAATAGTAATCTAGCCAAAAGATGTATATTTCTGAAAAAATATGTGTACTTTTGTTTTCATACAGTACTTAGTTTTAAATTCAAAGACCACGTTTTTTAATATTTTATTTATTGTTTATAATATAAGAAACTTTCTTGTTTATGCAATCATTTCTTATGTTATGTAGTGTAGTTGTATATTTTATAAAAAAAAATCATTAAAAGTTTATTAAAACGAAAAAATATTACTAATAAATTGTATCTATCGAATGAATGCTATGTGTAATAGCATTGTTGAAAGTTACTTAACTGCGATACATAGTATGTTGTATCAATTTTATCGATTGAAACTTATGAAAGCCAAAATTGTATAATAATTACATAAACATTTATAAAATACTGGTAGAGATTGTATATAAAAGGAGAGTCTGATTAGATGTGTACAATTTTTGAAATGTCACCGTCATGGTTGTCGACTGGTTTTGTGCTGCTTGAATTAATTAACGTAAGGAATATTGCTATTTACATTCTTATCTCTCACTCGTCCCAAAGATTAATTGTCGACTAAATTAAAACCTAATATTAATATTGAGTATGCTTTGTTATGTAATAGGTACTATTGTTAAAGCTAAAAAGTATTAAAGGGAAAAACAAACTCGGTATAAAATGCAAAAAATGGTTACACTTACATAACGAAACCTTATTCATTATTAACAATTACTAGTTTATTCTAAAAAATGTATAAGTAAAATTTTTAGTCCTTTTAATAGTTTGTTTCAAAATGAAAATCCTTTATTCTAGGTTCAAGTTCTTGCGCAATACAGCGGGTGGTATGGTCAGCAACAAATGCCTTCCTATGGAAACCCGGTTGTCATACGACAAGAGTCAGACGACGATGGCTTAAGAAGCATACTGCCCATACTATTACTTCTTCTGACCGACAGTAACGGGGGACGGTTCGGAGGGGGCTCTGGTGGATGTCAATGTGGCTGTGGTAGCTGCGGAAGTGGCTGTGGTGGCGGTTGCGGATGCGGGTGTAAAAGTGGATGTGGCACGGGAGGCGGCACTATACCCATACCCTATCCAATACCAATACCCGTCAATTGTCCGATCATTACCTGAACACTAGAATATTAATTTAAAAATAATTTAATCATAGTTAGTATTAAAGAAAAGTATTTAAAATTATTTAAAAATATAATAAAGGCTGAGGCTGTATCAATAGCTCTATTAAATATTTTTCGCAAAATTTTACTCTCCTATATAACATGATTATTGATCATGAACATGATTAATATTAGTACATCATAAATATTCGTCTCTGATATGATAAATTGTCGCTGACAACGTCTAACAAATGGTAATTAGTACAATAGTAATGAGTATATAATAACGTAGACATTTGGTATTCGATCTATTCTTGAACATTTCATTAATACAAAATAGCCAACTAGTATATATATATCTACATTGTGACTTTGTATTACTATATCCACTTTTTCACTCCACTGGTCAAAGAGCCTCTAAGTAAAAAAAAATGTACAAGTGTAATGAGAAATATTGATTGTATTGTTTTATTTTCCTCTAATAATAACAGAAAGTACTCTCACTTTATATCGTTTACAAAAAGAGTACGTGCTTCTTTTATCCCAGACAGTTAAGACATTACGAAAATAACCTTATTAACCATTTTCTTTTGAAATCGTTTGTATATAAAAGAACTGCAATATTTGTTGTCTCAATCGAATAACAAAATGGGTTCCCGGAAATTATTGGCGCTGGCCACTGTGCTGCTAATCATCGAGGTACGAATTATTTGCATCAAACAAAAAAGAAATAAATGTGGAATCAGAGTAAAATGTGGAATATTCATTTCAGGTCTTCAATGTGCACGCCCAATGTAATGGACGTGTGGAGTTCATCAATCAACCAAGCGCGATGCCGACAATAACGACAACATCATACGTTCAGCCTGTCAGTCAGTTTGTTATTCCAGCTGTTATTAAACCAATAATTCAGTCTGAACCAAGTATGGCTGCATTATCCCCTAGCATACCGGAATATTCAAACTTTTACAATTCCCTTTATGCCGGGTCAGCCATGCCCCCAATTATTTTCGATAGCGGCAGCAACGGAGATGGCTTAGATAATCTGCTTTACTTCCTATTATTCGCTTTGAGAAACAGACGTAATGGTGGATTTAGACGCAACGCGAATAACGGAGGAAGCAATTGCAATTGTGGCTCCAATAATTGCGAGGGTTGCAATAGATCTAGTGGCTGTAGTAATTTTAACAGTTGCCCACACTGCGGCGGGTGCCTTAGATGCGACAGCATTGGAAACGGTGGTGGTTGTGGTAAATGCGGTGCTTCTGGAAGCTGCGCTGGCTGTGGATCTAGTTCTAGTGGTGGTAACTGTGGATGTAACAACGGTAATAACGGCAACATCAGCTGTCCATTTGGGGGTAACTGTATTTATATACCTTACCCAATTGCTGTGCCGATAGGTAACGGTCCCCAATTTGGATGTGGAGGTGGATGTCCTATTATCGAAACCTCATTTGGAGGCTGTGATGACTCATCATCAATACAATCCTGCAACTGTTCCAGTCCAAATGAAATCAATCTTATTATTCGAACTGATCAATAACTATATACCCGTAACATTAAAGGTTGTAAAGTACGATGTAACAATAGTATTTGACATAATTAGAAATATAGTTTAAAGTTATCATCGTATCTGTTTTATTAAATATCCCAATTAGTAATAACTTTTGTAACTATTGCTTCATATTATGTTTCCTAAATTAGGTAGTTACCAGACAGAGGACAAGGTTTTAATTCTAATTTAAAGAAAACAAATGCAACGGTTGTGAAATTGTCTTCAGTGAACATGTTTCTTCGCTTTGATAATTACGAAAGTTTTGGTATTTCACATTCATTTTTCATTACATGGAAATTATTATATAAATGGCAACCGTGTAATTTTACTTTATTTCATCTCATTGACGTACATATGCAGTTCAGAAAATGTTGCGCGAAAAGCTCTCAAGAATTTTAATATTCTTAGCAATAGCACAGGTACAAAGTTTTTCATTATGCTTATTAGAAGGTAAGTTGAATTTGTTACTGGGAACCTCTCTATGTGAAATATTTTCCTTTCCAGTTAGAATTTGTGACCAGCCAATGCTGGGAAGAATGCTATAGTAATATACCTGCATGTTACTATAATATATATACGCAGATGGGCTATCAATGCCCTTACTCTAAACCTGAAGGTTATGATTACTCTTTATATGGACAGGCGGGTTATCCGTATAATGCATATCTAATAACTGGAAACTATGGAAATTACGAACACACTGATATGTATGGATCTCGTTCATGTAGTAGTACAGATGCTAACCAGCCAATAATCATTGTAGTTGAAAACGTTGACAAGTATGATGAACTTTCTTTTGATGACCTTATATCTCTATCACTTGGCCTTACGAAGAAATTACCAAATGATTGCCCTTCAACACGTTGCAACTGTAATTCGTGTGAAAGCAGAAACAATGGAAAAGGAAGTTATGAATTTTACTCTGAATGTAATCGTGCTGCCCATAGAAATTGTGATTCGTGTACATCTTGCAACAAAAAGGGTTGCTGTAAGAAGTCTAAAAGTACTGAATGCGGGTGCCAACGTTGCGATGAATCATTTTGTGATGGCAGTTGTTGCAAACACATTGTGATTTATGAAATATGTTAATGGTGTTAAAATAAAGTATTTCATGTCATACAAAAATCTTATTATCATAACCCCTGAAAATGTTAAAAGCACATTGAAATATCATATTCTTAAACTGTAAAAATTAGTTTGACTAATACGAGGAATTTTGCTACTTTAATTAGTGATATGCTTAGGAAAAAATAAGTTATGAAAAAAAAATAAAGGTTCTATTTCATTTAATGAGAAAAAAACCTTTCATGAATTCTGTCATTTGTTATTATCTAAACCTAGGCTACCCGCCGTTAAAAATATATTTCCATGCTCTTTAAATTTTTCTTTTATTTTATGGGTGAAGATTAGCTATCTTCTTCCAACGAGCTTTATCGGATGCCCATGAGGTTGAAATTGCGATGCTAACGGTGCATGAGATTGTATTTCAGTTTCTCAAACCATAAGACGAAAAAATTATACAAATAGTTTTATGTTTTACATTCATCATTTGTGAAGCCGTAGTTCCTCAGATAAGCATACCGTGCAACACTGGCTGCAGCATAGCCCTACTACGGTTTTTTACTAATAATTTGTAATGTTAACAGCTTGTAAAGATCTTAACATTACTTCATAGCTTATTTATTTTAATAGCTTGTAAGCCTCAAATAATGTACGTATGCCTTAAAAAAGGTAGGTATCGTCTATTGTGATATTATTGACGTCAATTACCTATTGTAGTATGGTGTGATATTATTTTCACAATATTGAGCATACCCTTCAAGCTCACTTAAAACGAGCAAGGTTTAACATATTTAAGTTATTAAAGGAATGAATTCAATAATTTACGAAGTGCTATGCCAAGGTTGGAGAAGGCAATTGTAATAAAGTTTCCAGTAATTTCTTATGAAATCTTGCTAACATCTCCAGTCTCTTAAATTCGTACGTGCCCTAATTCTCGAAGAGCCCTAATTACGAAATATTATTGTTAAACGTAACAATCGTCGTGATACTAAATACAATAAAAGGATTTGTTACACAAGTAACAGGGGTTAAGGCAAAATGGCGGCGGCGAAACTTAGTGTTTTGTTTGCTTTTCTTATGTACATAGTTAAGGTAAGAAGAATTTTTTGAGATTTTTTGAAACAACTATTTGATAAATGTATACTATATCGACTTTGATTTTCAGATTAATTTGGTTCTAGCTCAAGCGATATCTGGAACCTGTAGTGGAGCCTGCGCCGGGTACGGATTTTGCGGCGGCTTCTATCCAACTGTACTTGATACTAGCGCCAATACTGATCCTTTAGACATTATCCTTCCTGTGTTACTGCTTGCAATGTGCAAGAAAATTGGGAATGCAGCTGAAGCACCTGAAACTAAAAGTAATTTGAATGGCGCTGTATGCGGAATTGATGCAAACGGATGCGGTGGTTGCAGCACCGGTGGTGGGTGCGGTGGAATATGTGGATCCGGGTGTTGCAGTAGCTACAGTGGCTGCGGTGGTGGCTGTGTTAATGGATGTGGTGGAGGATGTGGTGGTAGTTGTAGTGGTGGTTGCGGTGGTGGTTGTGGTTGTGGTAATGCAGGACGTAGTGTCTGTGGTGGTGGGAATAGTGGAGGATCTTGTACCGAAAACGGATTGTCTGGCGGTTGTGGTCGTTGTGGCGGTCTTAACGGTGGAAATTGTGGCAGTTGCGTATCTTGTTAAAAAAAATATTCTTATTTTCTGTCAATTGTTATGAAAGTAAATCATAAATTTGTTTTCCCATTAGCTACATATAGCAATATTTGTGATGTTAAAATGTCAATCAATGTTTTCTTTACCATATGAAATTGAATAGATAAAAAGATCTTTCATATTTATTACTATTAAATATTTAGGTACAAAATATTTTTAAATCACGTAATATACTTATTTATTGTACAATTCACATGGAAAGTTGAAAACTGATAAGATAAAAATTGCGTTACAAATTATGTCGTAGTGCATATTAAATCACAGTTTTGAAATCACGGGAAGAAAGTTTAGTATAAAGTTATGAATTTTCGTTAAAGACTTGTAATTTATTGAATCGCAATAAGATTTTGAGTCAGTAATGTAACATCGTAATTATGTTCCACATTTTAATACAATTGTAAATATCAAAATGTCCATGAGAAAACATAGTGCAATTTTAAAAATCATAACCGTGTTTTTTATTGTTAATGTAAGTAATCTATTATCTTACAAGATGTATTGTATTTAATTACTTTTATTAACTAACTTAATATTGCTTTGTATGTGTTATATTTCAACAACATAACTTCGAATTTATATATGTATTTTACAGAATATCAGTTGTCTTGGTTCAAAAATTGAACAACGAGATGAAATCCCACCTGCAACACATAAAACTATAGAGAAAACAAGAGCAGCAAGACACAAATCTTTAAAATCATACATGTCTAACCCATCCATGTTCATACCAGACAGCGGATTTCCAGAGGTTGTATACCCAACTAGCATTTTAGACGCTAGGGAGCAATTTTATTTCGGATCTAGTGGATTTGATGATGTACTAAGACCCTTTTCTGATGATGTCAAAATTTCTTACAAAGCTCTTAAATCAGATAAAGTAACACAGGCCAAACAACTTGAAGAACCCTTGGCAAATTGGAAAAAACTTGCAACAAATCAAACCGCTTTACAAAATTTAAATGACGAAAATTTGGATACTAAAACGTCATTAAATCGTTATAACGAAACAGAAAATGAAAATGACTATGATATAAAAAGGGATGACATCAACACTAAAACTAAATTTGTTTATCCTAATTTTGGCGGGGAAAATGACATTAAATCGAATACATGCACCGATAACATTACAAAATGTTCTATTTCAGAGTTTGTGAACGAAAACCAGATAAAAGATTTTATAGAATTTACCTGTGAAGATGAAACAAGTAACATGAATTCGTGCAATGCTGCTGTTATATTAAATGACACTATATTAGGTGATGAAATATTTTTTATAGATAGTAACAAAGATACATTTCATGTGACTGATTTAGAGTTTTTTGTAAAATTAAATAATACGAGGAATTTATTTGATTCTATTTTGAACAATATAGAAAATTTGCTACCAGTGAAAAACATATCATATTGTAATGAAGATAAAATAGTAGATATACTACCCAAAAATTATCAGTTAAGGAAAGATGAAGAAAAAATAACCAATGATTTGTCATATAGGGAAGTAATAGACGATTCCAATGTAGAGTTGACATCAATAATAAGCTCCAAAAACAGTTTATCTAATCCACACACTAATTTTGTTAAATTAAATGTAGCCAACGACAATGAAAGGCAAGTCTCTAACGTTGAAATGTTTGAAGAAAATTTCCTCACAGGTTTTACTGATATTCCTTTGGAGAAATCAAATGTTCAACACGATGATACTGAAGTATATCCAGTCAATCCTTCTGGATTAACTTTTGATTACAGCTCTGCGTTAAGAAAACTGTTTTTTGGTGGAAGTGCATCGACAATAGACAACAGTATTGATATTGAAGATGAAGATTCAAATGAGTTAAACGTTAAATCTGCTGCAAATTCAATACTACTTTCATGAGTTGATAAAGTTTAAACCCCTTTTCCATTATGTTTAAATCCTCTTCTCCTGATTCTTAGAAAGTATTATAATAGATATTAATGAAATATAATAAAAATTTACTTAATTAAGAATTTTTAATTTTTATTTATTTGTTATTTAATCAGCTCCTAAGACTGAGTGTGACGGTAATGCAATTCCTTACTGACTTAGTCGATAGAAAAATATTTATTTTTAAAAAAATTGAGTAAATTTTGTGCAGTATATTATATTCTACACTGATTCACTTGATGTTCTGAGAGTAAAACATGGGCCACTCGGAAATTTTGGGGCACATGAAGTTTCTTGTGGTTAATGTTAAAAGATATTTCCACTAGCAACTAGTTACACAAAATTTATGCGTCTGAACCAATTTGCGACACACTTCACATTTATATTGAGTGTAAACAAAAAAGGCTTTGCATACCCTGTCTTCCCAATCAAACATGCTCCAAAGCCCCTAAAGGCAACATTTATATTTAAAGTTGTTATTTAAGATGTGTAATCGTTGTTACATTTTTTCGTGCATACCCTGTCTGAAATCTCTGTGCATGCCACTGTCTTCTAGTCCAACTCAAAACTCTTGTACGAATATTGTGAGTTTCCCGGCTATGATAGTTGTGTTTCTTTCACCTAACCTTTTTTTTTAAAGGTGCCTTATTAAGACTTGAACGAGTGGTAAAAATAATATTCTATTAGAATATATCAGGTATTCTCGGCCATCTCACTTCGGTTTAGTAGTTTTAAAACAGTCCATTTTATTATCGACGCTTATTTCCTATAGAAGAGGCCAAGTTCATATATTAAGTTATAAATTATTCAATGCTAGCATGTTTTCTTTGGTAACAACCATCAAACGGCGAACAAAACCGACTTGGATTGCCTTCAACCACACTGATTTGAAATAATGCAAATGTCATCTACAAAATAGATCTCACCCAAATCTTTTTGTCTCCAAAAGTTTTAGGTCATGAAAGGTTAACTAACCAAACTACTAAAAAACAAAAGTTTTTATAGCTAAATATCTTATTTTAATTGCATATGCATAAAAATAGAAATATTAAAAGAAATTTGTACAATCCCTAAAAATAGTTCCTTAACATTGTGTTAATTAATGTGTAATGGTTTTATTTTGCACTAACTATATATCATTTATAAAATTCATGTTAAAAAATTTGTGTAATCATTTTGTAACAAAATTGAACAAAGATGTCTGCAGATAACATCTATTATAAATTGATAAAAATCACGTTTATAGTTATATCTATGAAATCATAGAATATATATTGTAAAAACGCATAGGTAATGGGCTAAATAGAATGGGGCTTCGTGAAAAAATAGCTTTACTGATAATTACTATGTCATTTGTACAGGTGAGAGTGTTTTTTTTTTTAAGTATATGTTTCCTATAAATTTACCTACTAAGTTTAATTTGAAGCCATGCGTGTTTAATAATGAAAGAAGCGGAGAGAAGTAATCATGTTTTTTATTTATTCATTTTCAGATATTAAACGTACAATGTGTATCTAACACAAATAAGTTAAAATCTTCTTTACAAAAAATGCCTTACAAGTCAAAACGGAATAAAAATGTACTGGATCCAACAAAGGAGGAATCCTTTAAAAGATCATGTGACTTTCCCGAAGTTGAGTATCCATTGCCACCAAGATTTATATCTACTTCAAATAACAAGCCGAGTCTTGATTTCATGAAAAATCAACTTGTGAAACAGTCAGGACATTCTATGAAACCAAGTACGAATAAAAAGAATCGAAAGTACCACGGAGCTGCTATGAAAACATCAAAAAGTTCTCTAATTTCGTCTTTTCCTGACGCTAAGGTTACTCAAAACCCATTTTGCATTAATAGTGATTTTTTTCCATCTGTTGAGTATCCTCTAGAGGCATCTGATTTATGGAAAACACATCATTGGGATCGCATTTTGAATACACAACCGGAAATGATGATAAACGTTAAAGAAATGTGTAAGAAAGCAACTAGCAAATTAACCACTTTAAGCGGAAAAAAAGATGGTATGAAATCGAATATATTAAATTTGCATATGAATACAGATATTAATGTAAATAATAAAGAAATTATTCACCATCCACGTTTAAAGAACTTGACTGCATCAATTAAAGATAGATTCAATGCTACAGAACAGTGCAATAATGACAAAGTGCAGATTGAAAGCAATACGAGACGAAAATTTGGGCTCGTTAACAATACAACTTCTTCCCAGATTATAAAAGATCAAGACGAACAAGCTGTTACTTGTTCTTCGACATCAAATTCTGAATTATCCAAATGTGATGGAGAGTACATAAGTGATGTCCTATATCCTATTGCTCAAGCTACTCCCTCGCCAACGCACACAAAGCCATCGTTTTATAGTGAATATGGTACAACCATTTCGAACAACATTTTACCGCTAACGACAGAAGCCCCGTTTGGATCACTGGATCGGAGCAGATATGGATGCGACCAAAACAGGGATGAGGCTGGGCGGACTGTGTTTGAGGAATCATTGGCAGACGAAATGGGGTACACGGTGATGTTCCCCGAAGCGCCTAACTCTCTCAGCACTTCTACAATGGCGCCTGCTGATATAAATAACGTAGACAGTGTTTGGATGTATCCCGAATTGGATAATCATACTCTAAACACGTATTCTGACGAAGTAGATCAATATTACATATTAGTCCATTAGATGATGTGTTATATTTACTTTTTATTATAAATTAATTTGTATATTTATTTAATGATTTTACGCGAATATCATACATTTTAAATGAAACTATTTACCGACTACTACCGACGCTTCGAACCCTTTCTAGCGTTCATGGTCACAGGACAGACATATTTTTCACGTTTTAATGTCAGAGTTAGCCCGGGCAGTCGTCAATTATTTTATCATTTATTTCTATTCCGATCTACGCAAAAAGAGCTTACGGTATCTTGAGGTCTAGCAGTGTATACTTGGATTTAATTTTATAAATTATTGGATCCTAAGCTAATGATAAACCCCAACCACCTTTTTTATTGAAATTAAGATATTTTAATATTTATAATATTAATATTTTAATAACTATAAAAAAAATTAAATTTCTAAAATTATTAAATTATTTGTTTATTTCAATAGCCTCGCGGATCATCTTTGGGCGTAATCGATGTTCTTTTGTGAGGATGTGCAGTTTGTCGAATCTAATGTAAACGTTAGGGCAGTCTAAAATATGATCAAAACTACAGACTTCTTCATCTAATTTGTATATTGAAGGATTTTATTTAAATTTACCTCCACTTCATAATGGTATTTTCATGGGGTTTTTATACATAATTAAAATTAAAACGGTATACATATTTAAACAACACATAAATATGTAACAGATCCCCAATTCCAAACACCCGCAATCCCGAAACACATCCAGGATATCCGCCCTAAATCTGTTAAGAGTTTAGTACAGGGCATCATAATAATAAGTGAACTTAAAGAATAAAGAAAATGATAAAAACCGTTTGAGGATGGGATTAAGCATCATCAGATATTAATAAAAGCCGTTCCAATATTGAAAGGATTCCATGAAAACAGAAGATAATCCGCAGTTTATTTTATTAATAGCATTATCTTATTAAGCACTTGCAAACCAGCCTACCCCGTTAATGTTAAAGAAGCTTGACGTATTGAGTGATCCTAATTTATAAGCGGCCCTAAATCCCATTGAAACAAAGGGTCAGCATCGGTCAGCACTACGCGGCTTCATACCTTGTAAACAAGACTTCTGGTTCTTGCACTTACATGGTATCGAACTGGAAGAAAATGAAGGAAATTTAAGATAACCTCCGCATAAATAATTTCATTGTGCAATGTGAAATGTTTGCGTAAAATTGAGTAAAATGGCAACTCTTGTTACGTTTTGTTATTTATAAAAACTGGTCAGTAGTGAATAAAGATGATGAGGAAAAGATGTCTATTGATTAAATCAAAATAATTGGTCGGATTTTGTTGCATTTTATTACACATATTAATAAATAATACTCAAATGTGCATGGTGATCCCGTAATTAATAAATTAAATTAAAGCATTAAATATAAGCTCTTGGCGGAGATCGGATTAAGATAAATAATCAAAAAAATAATTAAGAACCCGGGTTAACTTCGACATTAAGACGTAAAAAAAAGTGTTCGAAATATTGAAAATTAAAAAAAAATAAAACGTTGTTAATAGTCCCAAAATATTATTTCCATTATTAAAATATACTATCTCATTTTTTTGAGTACAGACTAAGTATATTATTTGACACGATAACTTAAATTAAAAATATAACTCACGTGTTTATCATTTTGAGAAATTGAGGCCTCAATAAACTAATACAGCTAAACGCGCATTGTGCTCGCATAACTGGTATATATTTATCCCTGGCTTACGCTCTCAATTGAAAAATAAATTTAGCGAAACTACGCAGAAAAAATGTCCGACGTCGCAGAGAGAACCGGTTGCTCTGATACTGCAATAAAGAGGCGACCTTGTGTTCGTGGGGACGATTACATCATTTGACAGAGCGACGACGGTACTGAATTGAGATAAGAATAATTACGGGGATTTGCATCTTTGCGAAATGCTGACCATTTTATTCATTCCGCTTTATATGTTGCAAAAAAACACAAACGTCAAACAATGATTCGATCCACCGTCCATTATATACACTGATCCAACAATCCTGTTACGAGGAAATTGTTACTTTGTTTACGTATAAGAAGTATTAAAATTCCACTGACCATAACAGACAAAACTTTTACTTATTAAGGTAATAATATCATTTGCACATATTATAAGAAAGTACCTGGAGGACCTTTTTTTGGTAAATCATGTATTTTGGAAATAAAAAAAAATAAAAAATAAAGAAAGCAATGATCTGGTATAGAAAAAAAGTTAAAAAAAAAAAATAAGTGTGTAAATGATCGTGATACGAACCGCAGCCGTCTGTTTTGGGGCCGCCCGATTACCGACCGAGCTATTATAACATTTTTATTTGCAGCGAAATTTACCGTCATATTCGAATATTTTTCATTCCCTGAAAGCAGGTATAAAAGGATATGTTCTAAAATTGAAACCTAGCTAGAACGATTTTTCACCCCCGAATCTACGCACATACAAAATTTCATGAAAATCTCTGGAGCCGTTTCCGAGATTCCGATTATATATATATATAAGTATTGCTTGTTTTAAGGATAATAAGATAACTTTAAAATTCAATTACTAAAATTTAAATACTTTTTATAAATGTCATAACTAGATGAAATACTTTTTATTTCCTTGTCTGTGGTAGGGCTACGCAACAGCTTCTGGTGTTAGGCGAATGGGCAGGCTTGTCCGGGGAAGTACCAAGACCTCACAGAAGACAAGCGTGAAGTGGAAGTATTGTACCATCGCGTTTCGTCTGGTTAGTGAGATAACCGGCTCTTACTTTTTTGGAAGTTGTCAACGCATCTGAAAGCCATCAGGTGTTGTAGATGTTCATGGGCTAGAGTCGGGCTTTACTTAACATCGGTGAGCTGCGTGTTCGTTTGACAATATTTATCAAAAAATAAATTCTATATAGATTATAAATATGTACCCAATGACATCATTGTAAGTTACTCTGTCTTCTGCTTAATTTTAACTTTGAAATAGAAATGTCTTAAAATCATTTATGTGTAATCTTTGAAAAATTACATGATCAGTGTTTATAATAATTACAAGATCCAGAAAACCAAGTTCTTTCTGTCGAAAGACATTTTTGTTTGGTGTGTAGTGACAACCGCTATTGTTGCAAGGTTAGGTAAGGACCCAGCTAAAACGGGCAAGATATAAGATGTGTTTATTGGGTAAGTACCACGGCTTAAATGTTTCCGGTATTGTGAGTGACGATGTGCAGCAGTCGTCAATTGTTTTGGAACTTGCTTGAAATAAAAAGAGCATCTGAAGTATTGCCTTTGTTTTCATTGGTAAAGGTCCATCGGACATGGAGCCCGCAGACTGGCTTAAGTTTCCACGAGCTCGTCTCAAAGTCACGATCGTTTGGCTGACCGGGCGCGGCGCGCCGTTCCGGCGGAATGCCCACGGTTATGTGTGCATATGAAACGATCGTTTACATTCGTGTACTTCGCGGCTTTGACATTGATTCGAGTGGTCCGGTGTAGCGTGACCGCGGTGAGATATCGTCTTTATTGCCGTCGCGGTTCTTAATCGGTTTCCGATTAGTTACTTGCTCAGTTTGCTAATAGCAGTGTCAGAAGATTTAACATAATCCCCCGGAGTCTCAGTTTCACCTTTAAATGTCGACCTTTACTCGAACCAGGTCACAGATGATACTCGCCAAATACTTGGGACTGAATGTGGGATACATATGATGATTAAACTCATTTTTTGTCTGAAGTTGGCAAACAAGCTGGTGATTCATTTAATGTTAAGTGATACCCGCCGCAAACATTTGGAATACCCGTAAGATTGTAGATGCGTTGCCACCTTTAAATGAAGTGGTCCCCGGTCACCTCACTCACTAGGCGAAATTCAGAAGTATAACACATCCACTTCACGCCGCTCTTCCTGCGGTCTTGTTAATTACCCGGACAGACCTGCCCATTCGTGCAACAGCGAAGGCTGTTTCATGACCCTTACCATACATAAAACTATATTAAATCTAATAATATCTTCATTTAAACTTTAAATTTATCACTACATACTATAAAACAAAGTCGCCCACTGTCTGTCTGTCCCTATGTATGCTTAGATCTTTAAAACTACACAGCGGATCTTGATGCGGTTTTTTTACTAGGTAGAGTGATTGAAGGTAAAGCGCAAAGCCGGGGCGGGTCGCTAGTATTTGTATAAGAGTCATTTACGTCGTTATAGAGAGAAAACAAGTATCCACTTTAATCGCCGTTAAACATACTAAAGAACGAAGGTATTTAGTTCAGCGGGACAAGGGCGATTTAAAAGCATCGAATAGAATAGAAGGACAAATTACATCTGCTTCTGAATAAAGAGGCGAAAAGAAGATAGCAGAGAGTAATTATATCGTACTTAGAAAATGAATTAGAAGAATTGTGGACGAATAAAACTCTACAGATCTTCGATCACTTTCACAATGGAAGAGATTATTTAGACAAAATGGTCAAGGACTCAAAGTTGTAGCACGGAAGGTACACCAACTTTGATATACTATCCTAGCCAGACATAATTTAAATAAAGAACACGCTTTATTATGGTAAGGTAAGGTAACATCCTATACAAGTCCCACAGCTGGGCAAAGGCCTTCTCTATACAGAGGGTATCAGGGCATAGTCCACCACGCGGCCCCACTGCGGATTGGCGGACTTCACATATCTTTGAAATTTGTTTTTATTATTTTTTCGAAAATATGCAGGTTTCCTCAAGATATTTTCCTTCACCGCGGAGCACCTGATAAGTCAGCACTTAAAGTTAAAAACTTCGTTGGTGCCGGCACCGAGAAATATTTATTATAGGTACTAAAATATTGTACATTAACTATTAACATTAATATAACTATATAATAAATAACTATTAACTATTATATTTAAAGCCAATTGAAGCCAATAATTGCTGCATCAAAAGCCATTTTCGACACAAAAAAAGCGTCCGCGTTATAAATCTCGATCGGAATTAGATATCTAAAAATACATCTGCTTGGGTGCAGCCACACGACA